AAATCATCCAAGGCAAACGCTGTCAGTATCATCCCTATCGCCAACATAAAGACAGGATCGCCGTCTTCAACATTGCGGAAAAAATAACTTTGTACGATGCATTAGCTCATTTAAATTCTCATTAAAACAATGCTTGACACTTCATATTTGCAATTATTGAAATATAGCGAAATATTTCATAAGTAGAAATATGAAATTATGAATGGGAATGTCTAAATATTATTAAATTCTATAAACTGTTATCAGAAAGTGTCATTTAAGCTGAAATGAATGAACATCACAGAGCAACGAAACTTCAAAAGTTTCCCCTTCATGAACATACATCAGACATTAATAAATTGCAAAACCTGCGCTAATTAACATCCATCGACATACGTATCGTAGAAACAATATAACGTAATTTTTCATCATATTTTTAATGGCTTCTCTTTCACGAGCCACGTCCCTAGCGACAGCGAGAATAATTAATAATAATGTTAGATCGTTTAGATGCTTCTAACTGCAAAGTAGAATTCAATAGGGGATGATGAATTTATCGTTGGAAGAGCAAAATTAATGTTTACGTTTTTTTTTTATTGCGTTGTTACTTTCCCGCATAACTTTTAAAAAAGCGTGTTATATATTGAATAATTGTAAAAATTAATCCGACTAACTGTTGAAGACATTTTCATGCTTCTCCGATGTTCTATCTCACTCAAACACCATGAATAATCAAGTAACAACCAACTGAACATTTGGACACGGGGACAACCAAGAATGCAGGAATGAATGAATGCAAGAATGAATGAATGCAGAAAGCAGGATCCATAAACAAGGCAGAAAAGTGGCACTTGACAATTAAAATGGCGGAAAACTTGGACCGCTGAACTAATCGAAGAGATTTATGGCAACATGCTAACGGTGCGTACCAAGGAAAATGCGTTATGTGCTAGAATGAGTTTTTTCAGCAGATTATCATTCACATATGTTAATTTGTAGATTTTTAAACGATTGAGACTTTTATTTTACACCGCGCAAAAGAAAGCCACTATTATCAAAAACGTTCATCCTTATAAACACCCTCACACACACACGCAAACACACACACATACAAAGACACACACACACACATCTACACAAACCCCACTCAGCATAAAACTGCCGGCAAAACCAAAGAAATCTCAATAAAAGTCAAGTATTAATTAGTGAGCATCAATATGAAACATCACAAGAGAGTCCATGCAACACTATTCACTCAGTTTTTCCGGCAACTAATAAGAAATGTTGACTTCCTCTTCCAACAAATGAAAGCCTCCTTCTGGAATTTCCTATTAATTAATATTAACAACCATATCCTTGCTTTAAATCTTAGTATCCTGATATGTATGTGTGTGTGTGTGTGTGTTTGTTTGTATGTTTGTATGTTTGTTTGTTTGTATGTATGTACTTATGTTTGTACGCTTGTATATTTGTATGTCTATTAATCTTAGTTTTTGCTTTTTCTTTACGGTATATCTATCCACTGTTGTACCTTTCTCATCTGCTTCCCTCATTATAATATTATGATAAATAAATGCTTATATTTTTCAACGTTATAATAATCAATAGAAATTTTACGTTTCATTTCTCTCATGTTTTCTGAATGTACATTTGTTTCTGCTGCTTGATCACACACACACACACACACACACACACACACACACACACACACACACACACACACACACACACACACACACACACAAACACACACACACACACACACACACAAACACACACACACACACACCACACACACAAAACACAAACACACCCACACAACTCAAACACACACACAACACAAACACACACCTTATGTTGCTTAATGACAAAACGGGTCAACGAACGAATGCCACGGTCCAAGTGATGTTTGTATTTTGGCTCATTTGTATGTTTGTTTATTTGTATGTTTGTACGATGTTATGTTTGTTTGTTTGTATGTTTGTTTGTTTGTATGTTTGCATGTTTGTTTCTCTGTCGACTACCTACACGTTTTAGATTTGAGATAATTGATAAAGAAGGCGTTGCCTTTTTCAGATGATTTCATCTACTACGAGGTTATATATTATTATTATATATTATTATTATTATATTATTATTATTATATATTATTATTATATAATTATTACATCACTGCGTATTTTTATTATTACATTAGTACGTACGTCTTTAGTATGATGCATTCAACTATTTCAGCTAATTCACCAGTTTTATAGGCTTTTGTGTGTGTGTGAGAGAGAAAAAAAGAGATAGAGAAAAATATATATAGAAATAGAAAGAAAAAGAGAGAGAGTGGGTGTGTGCGTGTCGTGTTGTTAAACCAATAAATAAAATTTAATTACAAATAGCATAAACAATAAGAAATAGACAAGGCAGAAAAGAACGTTCTATTAATTATTTTTTCAAAATGAAACCAAAAATTAAAAAAATGAACAGTAAAGAAAAATCATCGTTATTAGGAGTTAATGCGTCATGAAAAATGTATTATGCTCCAAAAACACCATAAAGTTGCTAAAAATTCGCATAACTTTTTCAGCGTGCCAGCTTGGCTTATTTTTTTGGTGTAATAAAACAAAGCCAACAAATTTTTTTTTCAATTAGCTATAAGTTGATATTAGTGTGGTTTTAAAAGTTAATCCCAAGAGTGTAGGGATTGCTGATGCATATGTGTACTAGGAATATTTTTTATTTTTTTATTTTTTCTGTAATTGATTATATTACATTTAAAATAAAATAATTTTTTTCAATTTTTTAATTTTCTCCTATTTAAAATCCCAATTTTAAACTTCGTAAAACTATTTAAATAAACGGTTTGAAAATCCGAAGAATGAAACAGGATAATTTTGTTCCTTCAACTTCGTTATCTCGGTATAATAAGCTTATCATGGGATAAAAGATTTGAAATACGCGTGCGTGTGTGTGTTGTGTGGGTGTGTTTGTATTTGTGTGTGTGTGTGTGTTTGTATTTGTGTTTGTGTTGTGTGGGTGTGTTTGTATTTGTATTTGTGTGTATGTTTGTATTTGTGTGTGTGTGTATGTGCCATGTAACTCCAACTCCCTAGTTTGATTGGAATAATTACTATACGCAAACATTACTATCTACACATGAACGGAAAATAAACACTTTCAAAGTAGGAAACTCGATCCAAAATCAAATCAAGTAATTTTACTCTCATTCTTAGTACGCTCTTTAAATGAAAAATTTTCAAACTGTGCCAAAAAACAAATGTCTTGAACATCAACAAACGGAGCTTACATATCTGAAAGAGTTTTTTGTCAGTCAGAGTTTTAATTTATGATATAAATTAAATTTACTGTCATCAAGAAACTAAATGCTTGTATGTGTATGTTGTCGAACGACTCGCGAATATAATGTCTACAATTAGATATATGTCAGTATATATTGCAAATGACAGATTAAAATAGTTATCATTAATGTGAGATTTATAAATGTGAAATGTTCTGCACTATCTAGCTATTACTATCAATGAGATAAATTATTTATCTCTCAAAGGAAATGATTTTTATTTCAACGTGATTATGGCTTACTTGTTGAATACAACACGCACATCCATCCACACGCACGCACACTTTCATTACTTTTTTCTATTTATTCATTTATTCAAAACTAACCACATCAATAAATTCAATATGTTTAAATGAACATTGATTGATTTGAGGTTGGTAGCTAATAGAAAGACTAAACACGACATAAGTTTTGTTTAGTCACATCTGTTCAGTTCTTCAATTGAGGATAACTTAACTCCTTACTTCCACGAAAATAGTTACTAATTATTGGGAAAGAGATAAAAAAAATAGAGAGATAGTAAAACAGCAGAAAATCGAACGAAATTTGAAATATATATCTTCAAAACGACGATAGATGCCACTCTTATCAGAATATTCCTCGTAGATAGATTTTATCAAGGTGTGCACCGTGCAGTCTATACTAGATGTGAGTGGGAATCGAAATTTGTTCCCAATTCCGTCCCATTTTTGTTTGTCATTCCCGATTCCCTCTTGAATTCTCATTTATGACAACGTTCTCGAAAATTCCCTTTCCCTACTTTTTAAACTCATTCCCGCGTCTTCCCTCCCGCTCCCTCTCATTCCATTTTTTCCCATTTTTGAACGCGAAGAACTAGTTTTTTTAAATCAAAATTTATGAACATGTTTTTAGCTTCAAACAAAATGAAAACCCCAAAACTCTAAAAAAATATATTAAAACAACAATAATAATTTACAATTAAAACGATTAAAAACAATTTTATAGATGTTTTTGGACATATACACTACAATGTGAATCTCTGTGTCGACTAGAGCCCTGCGCGGTTTGTGGTTGTCGCGATTTAAACCGCAAAAACCGCACCGCAACTGCGGTTTTTTACGGTTGCGGTGCAAAATCATGCGGTTTTACACGGTTGCGGTTTTGAAATATGCGGTTTTTCCGCGGCGCGGTTTTTTTTATCAAAACCGCGGTGAATATAGCGTTAACAAAATAGCGTTAAATATTTTTGTTCGTCCATAACATTTTAAAAATTGCATTATCATTGTAATAATTTTATATATTAAAATCTTAATATCTTTGGAAGCCGTTGAAGCAACCATTTTCTTTTTCCTGTTACTTTGAAAGAAGTAGTTATTTTATTTACGGCGTGGTTAATTATCAATTATTTCATAAAAATGTCCGAGGTAAAAAATGTTGATCCACAGGTAGATGTAATTGATAAAGAAAGGGTAGGATCATCTCTCAATTACACACTGCAAAAGAGACGGTCCAGTTTAAATCCATACAAAATTGACAAACGTTATTTATTAAGAAGAGTAACAGTGATTTGGATGTAGATAGTTGTGATTTATAATGTCAATAAAAACATTAATGTTGCTTTTCATTTCTTGCAGTGCGGTTGCGGTGCGGTAGCGGTTTTAAATGTTGCGGTTTTGTGCGGTTGCGGTTTTTGAAAATTCCAACCGCGCAGGGCTCTAGTGTCGACCACATGTTTGCATATATATATATATATATAATATATATATATATATATATATATAAAGTTTGTTTTTAGCTGTATTGCTTGCACATGGTTTTAGCAATTACCATGGACTACCATGGGTGTTAGGGTGTCCCGAAAAATTTTTTTTTAGAATTTCGCAATACAAGACCTCTTGAAAGTTGCCAATTTGATCATAAATTACGAAAATAATCATACAAATTAAATTAAATTGCATCTTCAGCGTTCTACCATATTTTAAAGTTTTGAAAAATGGCATTTTTGTGTTAATATTTTGTGCCGCTTAATTATAATTAAAATGTTATATATGTTCTTTGTTTTGTTTACATGTGATAACTTCACTTCACATTGTTTTAATTTGTATGCATTAGCGTTTTCCTGGTTGTTTTAAATTTTTCTAGTTTGAGTTAGCAAATTCACTAAAATTTCAGTTTCTGAAGACGTGATTTTAATTGTAAGCGAATTCTATTAAACTAATCTTATTATTTTGCTATAAAATTTTAAAATTAGAAATGTTTTATTTTCATCTTTCAGAAAATGAGTTCAATGCGTAGCGATACCATATGTGATATATTAGGTCCATATGATGAACTTAACGAACGGCAGCTACCAACCATAGGGGATGTCATTAAATTTATTTTATTTGTTAAGAATGACCAGAAACTAAAATTTAATGGCAAGGATCCATCCAATTTAAACATTTATTCAGTTGTATCTAAAAAAATTCAAAATATCTGGATAAAAGCTTCCATTCCAATCGTATCTAATGATCGAGTTTTACAACTCTTAAAATTTTATTTTGAAAAATATCTCACTTTGAAAAGATATCCCAAGAGCAAAAGACATGATAGTTTTGAAAAAAAACTGAAATGTTTTTCAGATTTATCAAAGAGGCTTTTTGATGTGGCTTCATGTAAATGTGTCTTATTTGAAGCATGTGTATGTTTGAAAAATAAAAAAGTTCCTGTTAACGAAAGACAATTTTTGATCGATCAAAGAAATGAGAGAAAAATGGCTATAGGTGGCATCGATAAACAGGAAACGGTCAGATTGAGGAAACGACAGGCAAGACAATTTGAACGTTCAGTGAAAGGAGTCAAAAAGTTTTGCTCAACACAAGGTTCTAATATTGTTTCAACAGCTTTGGATGAAGACGAGACGCATATCAATTTTTCCAAAACCAACCTGGCAACAGAAACACTTCTGACAAACCTGTCATTTACAAATACACCAACAACAACATTCGCTAATCGAAATTTACTGCAGTTACCAACATTGGCAAAAGTTTGTGATAGATATCGATTGTCTATACGATCTGCTGCTGCTGTTGCTTCTGCCGTTTTAGTTGACGTAGGTCTGGTTTCAGATGAAGACTCAACTCTAGTAATAGACAAAAATAAAGTACACAGAGCTGTATCAAAGGCCAGAAAAAATATATTTCAAAATATTAGCGAAGTTTCACTAAACAGCATTTATTTTGATGGTCGAAAAGACAAAACGTTGGTGAATAAAAAAATAGGAGTCCGTTACCATCGCAAAGTGATTTTAGAAGAACATATTTCAATTTTATCAGAACCTAATTCTATTTTTTGGGACACACATCGCCATGTCGTGGAACCGCAAAATAAATCTTTACTTCAATCATAACTTTATTAAAAAATCGAAATTACAATTTAAATGACGTAATTTGCGTTGGATGTGATGGAACTGCAACTAATACCGGGTGGAAAGGTGGTGTAATTAAATACCTTGAAGAGTATTTGGATAGACCTTTACAAAGGTGTGTTTGTATGCTTCATGCTAACAAGCTACCTTTTCGTCATTTATTCTTGGCTTTAGATGGCTGCACTTCAGGTCCTAGAGAATATTCAGGGCCTATTGGAAAACAATTAGCTACTTGCGAAAATAAAACTACGTTGCTTTTTCAACCACTGACCGGTCATTTGCCTGATTTAACGAAAAATGTAGTTAATGAACTGAGTACAGATCAAAAATATCTCTATGAAATATGTCAAGCAGTATTAACTGGTTCCTGTAGTCCTGAGCTCGCAAACCGTCAACCTGGAAATCTATCTCATTCAAAATGGCTTACTTGTGCCAACCGTTTACTTAGACTATATGTAAGTACTCCTGATCCATCAGAAAGTTTGCAAATACTTGTCGAATATGTAGTTAAAGTATATGCTCCTATCTGGTTTTCAATTAAACAAAAAACATCTTTTAAAGATGGAGCTAAGCATATTTTTAATTTAATTTTATTCTCTCGATATTTACCAACAAATCTAAGAACAATTGTAGATTCTGTAATTGAGAGAAATGCTTTTTATGCACATCCAGAAAACCTTCTTGTTAGTATGTTATTTGACGACAGAGACTATATTCGGGAACTAGCATGTCGAAGAATAATAAAAGCTAGAAATACTGACACATCCAGAAAACCTTCTTGTTAGTATGTTATTTGACGACAGAGACTATATTCGGGAACTAGCATGTCGAAGAATAATAAAAGCTAGAAATACTGACAATGGTTTCAAACAGAGAATATTTAAAACACCGAAGCTTAACTTCTCTGCTAAAGATTATACTGAAATTATTTCGTGGCAGGAGTGTCAAATTACACTACCACCTGTGCTTCGGGATGTTACTAATGACGAACTCAAAAAGATGGCAAAAGATGGAAACCTTAAAATTGTTGATTTTCCTTGCCACACACAATCAGTAGAGAGATGTGTTAAACTGGTAACAGAAGCATCACAGAGTGTGACTAATGTTAATTCGAGAGATGGTTTCGTAAGAACCACGTTACAAAGTCGAGCTGAATTTCCAATTTTCAGACATAAAAATAAATTCAAATTTTAAATATATTTTATACTTGAATATAAACCGTCTGTTGTTTAATCTTGTTTAAATGTGTTTTGTTTTATAAATAGTATTTAAAAATCTATTATAAATGCATAAAATTTCGCAACTTTTGATACCTCTTGTTATAATGTGTCTTAAAAAAATTTTTTTTTCATACATCGACGGGACACCCACAATTTTCGTTTCCATGCTCACCTCTAGTCTACACGTTCGTTATGAAACCTGTAATGCGATTCAAGTACTTTCTTACTATGAAGAGAATTTTTTTACGATCAAACCCAGGCATGGCAGCACAAAACCAGGTTTATTTATTTGATTATTATTATTATTATTATATCTAATTACTCTCAACCGCCATTATAATGAAGTTTAATAAAAGATGACGATGTTTGAACTCGAAATTGGAATTTTTTTTTAATGATAAGATTGAGAAATTATTTTAAATCAAAAATTTCAATGAAAATATCTGAGCTTCGTTGATGGCACGACAAATAAGACAACGCATTTTAAAATATAGAGCAGTGAAATGAGCCCATTAAAATTTTCTCAAGTAAAACAAAAGTCATCTGCAAAGTTAGTGAAATGAACCCATAAAAAATTTCCCACGTAAAACTAAAATAATCTCCACTGGAAGGACGATCAATTTTGAACATTTCTTAAAAATAATAGATAAAAAACATGTAGAACTTTATGAGGAAGTGCTTGATGGGCTGATTATAGGCTGACTGTAGGTAGTTGGTTGAATTAGATATCTCTCTAATATTTCACCTTAGTATTCATCAGAAAAATTTTTGTTGTTTCTTACAACTCTATTTTGAAATTAACCATGAAAGATTTTGTTAAATTTTGAAATATAAAACTTTAAATCAGTCAGCCAGCCAGTCAGTCAACCAACCAACCAACCAATCAATCAACCAATCAATCAATCACCCATTTTGTTTGTGAATTTTATGAATTTTGTAAACAGAATAGTCTTGAGAATCGCCATGAACTTCGTAAGCGATGGAGAAGGAGGAAGAGACTTCTAGAGAAAAGGGCCAGAAAAAGCAAACGCAAATTTAGCGAGAGTGCTCAAGACGAGTTAAGAAGAAGTGAGAACAAGAAGACGATGGTAAACTGGGTCGTTTAGGCTTAATTGATATAGATATATAACCTGATAAACTTTGATTACCATTTTAAAAAAAAACAATTTTAAACGGTCAAATTATTTGTACCACAAATTTTTATTTATTTATTTAATAATTTTATTATTCAAAATTATCAAAAATATTTTCAATTTCGAATAAAATTCAATTTTAAAAACTCTAATTATTGCAAAACTATCTTTAAATAATAATAAAATTTCTTTCAAATATTGCGCTCCAAGTTTTCAGCTGCGATGAGAAAACCATTTATCGGCGTCCTTTTAATGAATTTTTTTATGTGTATTTAATGATCAATAGTTATGAAAAACAAGCGGACAAACAATAAATGAAACAATATCAAATATATATTTGGGCTGCTATAATAAAATAAAATCCTTACATGAAATAAAATTGTCGAGAAGAATGAAAATTGGTAACGGGTGTGGCAACCGGTTCTGGAGTCAAGAAACGATTAATTTTTTTATGTCTTCTAATAATTTGAAATGAATCAATTTTAATGAAATGTTTTTTACAATTAATTCCTAATTAACTTCCAAATGTTTCAACATGCACACCCATTGTTATAGCATCTTACAGATTGGGAGGTTTCGTCAAATTTGTATTCGAACCCGGTTATTGAGACAAAGAACAAGACGTCTTTAACAAATACACCATTACGTCGTTTTTGAGATTCAACGATTACTTTAACTTTATTAATGTTAGTTTTTTGACTGAATTTTCCAGCTGATTGTTGGGACGGGGTTAGGACGGATATCTTAACTTTTTATCAAATTTCAGCCATTTTAATTGAACCCGTGCAATTTGTCTTTTAAGTTAAAACGAAATTGAAACTCCCTGATGACCATGGTTCTGATATGAACCACCTGATGAACTGTACATTTAAACCCCAAGTATGCCCCAAGTATCTTACTTTGCTAAAAAATTATAATTAATTTTAGATTATTACTTTAACAAATTTAAAAAAAATTTAAATTATTAAATCTAGGTGTTTTTTTTTGTTTGTTTGTTCTTATATAAAGGATGCGATAGAGGCATTATTGATATTATTGTTATTTAACTGTACAGTTATAATAAAAAAAATTTTTAGCAAATTTAAAATTTATCCAATTGAAATAATCATGTCATTATTAAAAATAATTTAAAATAAATCAAATAAACAATCTCCAATAAAAATCATCCATGGTTTAAACTAATTCAAGAAATATTTTCATTCAATTTTATAAGTTTTTTTAACAAAACTTAAACGAATTTAAACAGCATTTCAAATAATGTCATTTAAACTTGGAGTTTTCTTAGACTCCTAGATGCTTTAGTTCCCTGTACATTTGATGGGCGGCACACATAGTACAACAGCCCATGCACATTATATCGTTGAAGATACTTCCCTGATTTTTATTTAAACAGTTACAATATTTTAATTTAATTCACTTTAAATGTATTTTATTTTGTCAAAACTATTTACAGGCATTTTTATTTTAAATTGAATAAAAATGAAAAAAAATGTAAATGAATTTTTAATTCGTCACACAAATCCGATCAGTAGTTTATATTTTTTTTATTAAAATATTTTTTTGAATAAAACAAATAAAAATAAAAATGACAATAAAAAATAGAATGGTATAACTTCGTAATTTGGAAGAAACAGGCAAGTAATATAAAATAAAAGCGCACGTCTACCTTGATGCCGTATTGAGTTCTTAGTTTGGTCCTCATGGCCGTCAGGAAGCCATAACAACAGCAGGGACCCAGCACGCATTCGTCCATTTTGGAGGCCAGTGTGCACGTGAAGCAAAGGAAACACCAGTAACAATAGCAGCCTTAAGTAATTCAAATAGAAATAAAATTTTATTTTATTCTAAAAAAAATTACAGAACAACAAACGTATTATATTTGAAAAAAAACCTCACAACAAACGCAACACTATAGGAACAAGTAATCGTCTAAAACAAATATGACAAATATTGTAAGTGGACAAAAAATTAATTATGTACAACCAGTGGCGGGCCTTGGAAGTGGGGCCAAAAACTCTGTTTTTGCAAAGAAAAAAGTTCGCCAACCGAATTTTGGGCAACACGACAACAAATCTTAGAGCTCTAGTCGAAATGTCAAAAAATATTTAAACATCTTCAAAGTTTTGGCCCCCCCCCGTCAAAGTTATCTAGATCCGCCACTGTGTTCTGCAGGAGTGGAACTCACATCCGGCCATATCCTGACAGCAGCCGCAGATTCCCGACGACCAGGGTTTAATATTTTGTATCTGCCCTGCTAACTGCGGCTGACTGGTCACCACATTCTGTCCCTGGTACTGCATGTTGTAGTTCGGATTCATTTTTTTTTTGAATTTATATTCTTTAATTTAAATTTTTCTTGTAAAAACTTTTGCTTGAAATATAAATTATTATCCTGGCAGGAAGAGCGCTTCCTCTGTTAATTTTTAACTTTGTGTAACTATATTAATAAATGTTTGTTTGCATGTATGTATATATATATATATATATATATTGTGTGTGTGTATATATATATATATATATATTCATATATACAAACTGTGTCTGTGTATATGTATGTACGTGCGTACGCATGTACGTATGTATGTATGTATGTATGTATGTATGTATGTATGTATGTATGTATGTATGTATGTATGTATGTATGTATGTATGTATGTATGTATGTATGTATGTATGTATGTATGTATGTATGTATGTATGTATGTATGTATGTATGTATGTATGTATGTATGTATGTATGTATGTATGTATGTATGTATGTATGTATGTATGTATGTATGTATGTATGTATGTATGTATGTATGTATGTATGTATGTATGTATGTATGTATGTATGTATGTATGTATGTATGTATGTATGTTAAAACCAAATCAGCGATGAGTGACACTAAACAGTCAAACATCTGAAAAAATCGGTTAACAATTGATATCTCGTTATTCGCTCACGTCGGCGTTTAATTGAACATTTTCGGTAACACAGACGCGCAAAAACCTTTGCAGCAAACAAGATATATGATTCATGGCGAAAAATAGCTCTCTGCTGTCGCCATACCTGCCACTTATCATTTTGCAAATCTTTTTAAAAAATATTGAAGTGTTGTTGTCCATCGGATCTCAACCAACCGCAGCTCGCGTCGCTTGACGCGGCCAGCAGACGAGCCGAAGTTGCATCGTCGGGACTAGAGGACAACAAAAACTGAAAAGTTGTTTTGTATGCCTCTTCCAGCAACCGAGCTTGAAAATGTTTTGCTCGGTTGGGTGATGCTGGTAGGGTACCAAGATTCGTGAAAGATTGCCGGAGCAGGGCAGACTGCAGGTCGAGCGTGGCAGCGGCAGATGATTTGTAAACAATAGGTGCCAGCTGGACTACGCTTAACAACCCCAGTCCCCCAAACCGAACCGGCAACTGGGCCTGAGACCAGCCCCTGTCTGTCAACTCAACATTGCATAGGGCTGACAAAGCTGACCTCAGGGCGCCATCGAATCCGCCCAAAATGGATGCATCAACCGAGAAGGATGTACGAAGGAAATACATCAATCTAGGCAAACTAAGGGCGTTGCGGACGATGGTCAGCGCGTCGTGGACCGGAAGATGAGACACTCGGTCGAGGGCGAATTTCAGCTCTGCGAGTTTTTTATTAAAAAAAGTGTTTTGAAACTCACCCTCCATCAATGGGGTGCCCAAGAAGCTCAATGATGCCTCAGACACTAAGGGCACTTCCGCCAGTGTCTGTGGCATTTCAAAAGAGTCGTTTGCGTACAATTCGCATTTTTTACTATTAAGCTCAAGCCCAATGATGGAGGCCTTGTCTTTAGACAGGAATCAGTAGCTAAAATTGCACCCTCGGCGGCCAAACTGATATCGTCCAGGTAGCCGCAAACGAATTTTGAAAGAGATTTTTCCAACACCGGGTGTAGGGTCAGAGCAAACAACATCGGCCCCAAAGGGTCACCCTGTTGCACCCCCTCGGACGATTCCATCACCCAGGTGTTATAACCAAGAGAAGAGATTCGGCCATATGCGGAGTGGCAGTAATTGTAAATTTGGGGACAGAGCCGTTTGACTGCCTCCAGCATCGAATCTCTCCTCAGGGTATTAAAGGCATTCCTGAAGTCAATTTTTAAAAAACCCCATTTATCGGGTAAGTCCAGAACCAATTTACGGGCCGCATGTACGGCCGCCTCTGCTCCTCCTTTCACCCCAACGCCCAGTTGAATTGGGTAAAGTTTCGCCTTGGTTTCTTCCAACACCAAGATCAGAGCACATTTGCTGGCCAACCTTCTCCAAAAGTTATAACCCAATGATGTATGTATGTATGTATGTATGTATGTATGTATGTATGTATGTATGTATGTATGTATGTATGTATGTATGTATGTATGTATGTATGTATGTATGTATGTATGTATGTATGTATGTATGTATGTATGTATGTATGTATGTATGTATGTATGTATGTATGTATGTATGTATGTATGTATGTATGTATGTATGTATGTATGTATGTATGTATGTATGTATGTATGTATGTATGTATGTATGTATGTATGTATGTATGTATGTATGTATGTATGTATATGAATAGATGTATGTGCAAATGTATGGTTAAAAGTATGCTAAATAACATGTACCTGACACACAGCTGAAACATGAGAATTACAGCCAGTCAGTCAACCACGAAAGATTGCGTTTTGCTGAAGTTCCTCCTGTAGTTCTGAACAATGAAAGCTTGTGAGTATTGAATAGATTGAATGAAGTTAGCTGAAGGAAATATTCAACGTGCCAAATCAATTGTTCGTTAATCTCAATTACTTTTATGAGTGCAAATTAAATTTATTCTAAATGAATTTGTATTCTTTCTGCTTGTGCAAACATCATTGGCTACATATAGACTTTAAAGAAATACATTGAAGAAAAGGCTGAAAAAAAATAAATTGATATGTAATACAAAAGTTTATGAAACAGCTTACAAAATTACAAAAACTATTGTGTGAATAAAAATAGTAAACAAATTCGGAAACACGAAATCTTAATAACATGGCTATTCTTGGGCGACGTGATGGCTCAATGGTTAAAGGCGCCTGGTCGTGCTATTGCAATGACTGGGTTCGAATACAAAGAGATCCCCGCCTGTCATATGCAATGTGTATGATGCGTGGTTTGCACGCGTATTCATGTACGCCGTGTGTGTTTGTTGTTGAAACCTCTGAAGCTAACGCAAAAGAGAGAGAGTAACCTTTAACCTTCTTTCAAGAACAATCAAATGAGTTTTAACGCTGAACATAATTTGAATGTAAAACGTCTTACACTTTCAAATAGAGAAAAGTAACTGAGAGTTATTAAAATAAGAAATAGAATTAGTAATTATAAATTAATTAAATTGATTTATTGATTAATTAATTACTAATTAGTTATATAATGTGACGAGAATCCGAATTAATTCAACCTGATGAAAGTTATTGAATTATTCAGATGTATGTGCACTTGACACTTTCAACATATACTAATTTTACTTCAGATTTTTATACATACTTACCTCAATACTGTTGCAATTTATGAAACGTGTTTTAACAGCTTTAAGACTATCACTATACTACAACAACAACTACTACACTACTACTACTACTACTACTACTACTACTACTACTACTACTACTACTACTACTACTACTACTATTACTACTACTACTATTACTACTACTACTACTACTACTACTACTACTACTACTACTACTACTACTACTACTACCGCAACTACTACTAACTAGTAACTAGTAATCGTAGTAGTAGTGGCGGATCTATTATGCTATGCTTTAGCTCATCACACCTAATTTTTCATTTTCGGTCGATTTTTCACCTAAAAATTGCGTTTTCTTGTCTAAAAACTATATATTAAAAAGTATCAGTGCATTATTTTCTACTTTGACTAATTTCTTGATAAGTTTTTAAATATTTCGTACCGTATTTTTGTTATATTTTTTAACTTGTTTATATAAAAACAAAGTTTTTAATTACTCTTCTATTCATTTTTTTTTCCAGAAAAAGCTTTTTTCGGTAATCCTTTACAATTTTTAGTTATTTATGTCGTCTAAACCTGGTTGTATCTTATATTAATATCTATATCTGTGTGTTTCTAATTACATTCATACATGTGTGTGTGTGTGTGTGTGTGTGTGTGTGTGTGTGTGTGTGTGTGTGTGTGTGTGTGTGTGTGTGGGCAATCTTTGGGTTAATGGGTTTTGTTAATGCACTTTTTAAGATATAGCAATGAAATGTGTGAGTGTGTGAGAGAAGAATTAAATTTTATAGCTGAAGACTTTAAAGAATAGTTTAATTTTTAAAAATATCTCTAACATCATTAATATCCAAAATTAGGGCAAGTCACATTTAAGACGTTGGAACGTCTGAAATGTCCAACAAACAATTAAAACATATTAAAACGACTTTGAAATTTTAACTAGCAGATATTTTATGTTTGTTTTTCATAAACGTTCAATGCTTTAACCGAAGTAAAATTGTTACAAAATTTCTTCTCCAGTCAAATGATGGCGGATTGATGTTGATGTCATACAAGATGTCCTCAGTAGAGATTGAGTGACCTGACCTCCCTGTACATCTGACTGACCGCACATGGGGCACAACATGAAACAACCATTATATCGCAGCATATCGAACCCTTTCAACGTTTTCATTCAATTTTGAATTTTGTTGCTAATGTTACTACTATTACATTCAAAATTGTAGTTCAATTTCTAATGTTAGCTTACCCTGATTCCCAGTTGACCTCTCAACTTGGACCTCATAGCGGGCACGAACCCCGGTATGCACAACGGACCAAGTGCACACTCGTTTTTTTTGCTGGCTGCAGAGCAGGTGAAACATGAGTAGCAAAAGATGCAGTAAAAAACTGAATGAAATGTATCGATTGAAGTCGGAAATTGCTAAATATAATTTTTTTAATTTAAATTAAAAAATGTTCTCATAAATTTAAAATAATTAAACAAAAGTTAGTTACTGACGTGCTTGAAACCTTTAACAAACAAACAAACAAACAAACAAACAAACAAACAAACAAACAAACAAACAAACAAACAAACAAACAAACAAACAAACAAACAAACAAACAAACAAACAAACAAACAAACAAACAAACAAACAAACAAACAAACAAACAAACAAACAAACAAACAAACAAACAAACAAACAAACAAACAAACAAATGAACAAACAAACAAACAAACAAAAGATAAATGATTTCATCTATAAATTTAATAAATCTCTTTTCTAGGCCTTCCACTAACATGCCTCACAGTCCGTACAACAGCCACACAATCCGTTCGACCAGTCACGAACATTTTGTGGCTGTCCAACCCTCTGAGTGCCAGCCTCACCACCGCCATCACCTGACTGGTTGTCTGCCAGGATGACGTTCGTTGTTTGCTGGGGGCTGAAATGACCCCTGGCTGCATCATTACGGGGGGTGGCATCATTACGGGGGGTGGCAAAATTTCAAGTGGCAAAGACTTTGTATGTGTAGTTGAGTTTGGATAAAAAAATCAGTCGAATCAGCAAAATTATCCCGGTAGCAACAGGAACACAATTCTACAACGATTGAATATTTTATTTTTTCACCTCTCTTGTTTGGAAATCATTGAGACATAAATAAGCACAACTTAAAATAAGTTCAACTCCTATAAACTAATGATAAAGTAAACGAACGAGAATATTGTATTTGAATAAATTTTAAAATTGGTCTACGGTACAAACAAATTGTACATTATTGGATGTGATAGTTGCTTAACAATGCCTGTTAAATTATGATTATATTGGTAATGAATGTTCTTTCTAAATGGCTTCACATGAGTTCAAACATCATCTAAATGCTGCAACAATGAGTTACTAAACTGTTAATAATGGAACGAAGTGAAAAATCAAAGCTGTTATACATTGATTAGAATGAACCCACACATTTCAGAAGTAATTATCTAATGTGTGTTCATGGGCGTTTTAAAAATTTCTAAAAAAATATTAAAATTATACAGTTTATTCGGTGTTACTGAACCCAAGTATTCATAATTTTTGAATGTTAAAGTCATTCTAAATTGAATGATGGGTCAGTTTTCATAGCGATGTTCTATCTATCTACATATGTATTAGATTCCATTTTTAAACCTGTAATGAATAAAATTCGTATAATTTCATCATGACGATGATGATAATGATGACGATGATGATGCTTACGATTATGATGGCAACGATGATGATGATGATGATGCATAAGATTACAATGATGGTGATGATGACAACGACGACAATGATGATCAATCAAACAATCAATGGGTTTATAAAGCGCTATTTCCGCGATGTTCAACTACCCTCTTCAATGAATTTTGAAAACAGATGGGTCTGGAGGTTCGCTCTGAACTTTGTAAGTGATGGAGAAGTAGTCAGAGAAGGAGGTAGAGAGTTCCAGAGAAAAGGGCCAGAAAAAGCAAATGCAGATTTAGCAAAAAAGTGTTTAACACAAGTTAAGAAAAAGTGGAAACAAGAAATTTAGGTTCAATTAATATATCTGATAATTACTTAGGAAATAATTTAAATTGTGACATAGACATAAATGTGCAAATTTTAAAAATTATTCTATATTTTATAGGTAGCCAGTGCAAGAGAACAAGATATGGAGATATATGAGAAAAGAAAGGGGCACGAGCAACTAGACGAGCAGCAGAGTTAAAAGCTTTACTTAAAGGATAGAGTGTAGAATCAGAAAGACCATAGTAGAGCGAGTTACAATAATCAATTCTAGATAAGACTAACGAAGTAACAAGAAGGAGAAGAGTAGGATTGTCAAGAAATGGCAAAAGTTTTTTATTCTAAGCAGATGAAAGTAATGATGATGATGATAATGATGGCGATGATGATGACGGTGATAACGACGATGAGGATGTCATTTTTTAATGGAAACAATTTCAAAAAGTCAGCGCACTGTGAAGAGAAACTTTCTTTTAACAACATATCAAAGTTACCATTATTAGGCTAGTGTATGAATGTGCTTAACAGACGAGCCGCATAAAATTATCTAAACGGGATAGCTTAGCATTTTAAAAATTGACAATAACATTTTGTTATGAAGATGAATAACAATTTTGATGGCCTTTGATATTTAGAAGTATTGTCTCATTGTACTCTAAAATAAATTTTTAATTTAAAAACAATTAACTACGTGAAACTGCTGCTACTACTACTACTATACTACTACTACTACTACTACTACTACTACTACTACTACTACTGCTACTACTACTACTACCATTACTACAACAACAACAACAACAACTACTACTACTACTACTACTACCATTACAACAACAACAACAACTACTACTACTACTACTACTACTATACTACCATTACTACTACAACAACAACAACTACTACCACTACTAATAAGATCGTGGTCAATAACAAATCCCATTCGTGAAGTCCTTTTGTCACTTGTTGAATATCGCCAAATTTCAACTACTACAAAGTGTTGAAGATCGGGTTTTGTGGAGGTCGATGGTCGCCAATGTCCTGAAGTATAAGGCACGAAAAGAAGAAGACTTCTACTGCTGCTACTATTACTACTATTACTACTACTACTATTACTACTAATACTACTACCAACAATAATAATAATAGCAACAGTAGTAATAGCAGCAGCATTAGTAGCAATAGTTGTAGTAGTTTATTTGTATGTACGTCATTTCAATCCCCATTTAATACGGCACTAATAAATTTAATTATTGCTATCTTAAATGATATGGAATTTTTTTCCTTGGCTATATAAATAAATAAATATATATATATTGATGAAAATCACAGCATGTTCGGCGTTAGTTAACTTCCAATTTAACTTTTCGATTTTTTTAACGGTTGATCGAGAAGACTTTGGCGCTATGAAGAATCACATGAAAGAGAAACACAAAACTAAAATTACTAGACAAATCTTAGACCACAATGTTGAAATTTTACATTACAATAACAACCATTATAATTTACGACTAGCCGAATCAATACACATAGAACAAATACATCCGAAAATAAATATTCAACAAGGGCAATTGGAATTCTTCCCACTAATAAATTTAGAAACAGAGAAATCATCGACAATGAAAACACGTAAAAGTGTTATATTTAACGATAATGAAAACACGTTAAAGTGTTACATTTAACGATGTTAAAGATTGTAAAAATAAATTCACTTTAAACAAACAAGGAATCAATAAAAGTAGAGTAGAGGCACAGCTGATGGTAAAAAATCTTCAGCTAAAATTGCGTGTTTCCGTTATTTTGTTAACTTTTGACAACGGTTAAAATTTATGTGTAAAGTTTCAACTTGATAAATATTCATGTTACACGCATTGCAAATTAAAAATAATTTACACGACACACCACACTATAGCAACGTTTCTAATTCATTCGTGAGAATAATTGTACGCCTATAAACACTAGCTAGTGTTGTAGACAGTCTGAAGTAGAAATTTTAATTGAAACACTGCAAATAATTAGTTGATTCATTCACTCACCCACTCATTCATTCCTTCATTTATTCACGTGTGAGCCTTGTTTTGTTCTATATTTTTAATTCACAAGCCTGTCTTATATACTAACCATTCGAACATTCAGACATTAAACACATTCAGAGCTTCTGCAATTAAAGCTCTTCTAAAATCTAAAGGTGGGTAGGCACTTGATGAAGTTAGGCTGCTACATTTAATGCAAATTATTGCATGCTACTTGTACAGCTAAGCTTTCCACGCAGCATTATAAAGTGTCGTAATACTTAATGTAACGTTTTGTTGTAGGCATCCATTTTATTTATCAAATCGAATTTTACAATTGGAAGGGTTGAAATGATTCAGAGATCTAAAAAGAAAATACCGTCTTGCGACAGACCACCGATAGTGAAATAAATTCAATTTAGTTTAATTTGAATTTATTTTAATAAAGTTCAAAGTGAGTGTAAATAAACTTCTCATGCCAGAAACACAAAAACATTACAGCTTTTCAAAATCAGATTTGCGAGAAATGTTTCAATAGAGATTGTAGTTTTTTGACAATAACGTATCGCTCAGTATGTACGGTTCGCTAGATTTTTGGTTCTCATTTGACCGAATCAATAGTTAAATTTTTAAAATTTCGATTGATGTTATGTATGACTTGACTTTTAAGACTCCTCTCTCTCTCTCTCTCTCTCTCTCTCTCATTTTATCTCTTTTCTTTTCTCTTTCTTTCTCTCTCCTTCTCTCCCTTTCTTTTTTTTCCAATTTAAATTATTCATATTTCTAAGTCTGCAGTTTCATATTTAGCATTATGCGTAGAAACAACTTGGAACAAAACTCTGGCGAATGACAATGAAATAAGTCTTTCAATGCGTTTCTAGGATTATTTCTGACAAATTATATTTATGTGCTAGACAAATTAATTATTAATAGTTGTTTTAATTATAAAAATTAAATTAGATTAAATGAAATTCGCTTTTAAAATTCTTCTTCCTTCCTCTGGATAGTAGAACAACACGGTGCAACAACACGCGCAACAGGACCGACATTAATTATTTACACAAACCCTTACCCCTTAGATCCGCCTCTGGGTATTTGACCATTTCAATAAACGGTGAAGATTTTTGGTTTCGTGTAAATTTTAAATTGGGATTAGCTTAGAGATTGTAACTTCAAATCGGTTTATCTGGTGCTGTTCGAGTATTTTAACATTTGATTGATCTGTAAGTTGACTTGTTGATGTCTTTACGTTTTTGATCTGCGGTTTTTTTAGAGCTTTCGAGTATTTTATATTTTAGTTTTGTATCTGATATACATTAATGACAGTCAGTGAAACCCCCTGGCAGAAAAATGCATCAACACTAACACACACACTAACACACACACACACACACACACACACACACACACACACGCATACATTTACATAAGCATTAACGTAACGTAAATTCTTTATACTGTACGTAATTCTCAATGTATAAAGATTTGTACATACTGTACTATTGTACAGTCCGAAGCATAAATGTACGCTTTCAAATGCAAATATATAAAACTTAATCTAATGTTAACAAACAGTATTATTATGGAACGGCAGTTTTGGTCTGAACTCAGGGCACAAGTGTTTCTAATAATTTCAATGAAATTAGCAAATTAGTCAAATAATAACGTATACAAGTTGTAAACATACGTACATTCAAACTGCATACACAACCCTTTACACGTAAGCGCATATATACGCATATAAACCCAAGTGTACAAGTCTGCTAATGTAGATTTTTCATCGTTGGTCAAATGTTTGTACAGCTTTGTACACACACATATACACACGTACACATGCACATATATGCACGTACACACACACACACGTACACACACAAGCACATTCATGGCATGGACCATACATGCATGTGTTACATACCGTTTGTATTGTAAATAGTTTTGTTGTAGGGTTTGAATTATGTTCATTTATGCTTGTATGCCACGCATGTTCCGTCCCGCTCTGTCCACAAGTAGGGCTCTCTTCTGATTCGGCTGACGTTGTCTAAATGAAAGAAGCTCGCATCTCTTTCGTTGCATACATTCAACTGGTTAGATAGAAAAAATCGTTCATTCTTATACAATTTGTTGTCCAGTTAACTTGTTGAATCAATTTCTACTTACCAACTGCAGGATTGCGTTATGGTTGGTTCATTTCTCCTTTCAATTTAATGGCCTACATTTTTAAACTTCACTTAGATTATTACATTAATGCGTACATACAAACATATATATATATATATATATATATATATATATATATATATATATATATAATATTGGAATTGTTATATATTGGAATTCTTCCTACCAATGAGTTTAGAAACAGAGGAATCATTGATAATGAAAACACGTAAAAGTGTTATACTAAACGGAGTTGAAGATTGTAAAACTAATTAAATGAACGATAAGTACTGTGATTTTCATCAATAATATATATGTATATATGTATGTATATATATATATATATATTTATTTATATATATATATATATATATATATATATATATATATTTATATATATATGTTGGTAATAGACCATAGAACGAACTACAAACATATTAACGCCAAACATTCGGTGGAATTTATAGAATATTGTAAAAATATATATATATATATAATTTACTACTTACTGATGATTATCAGTCCGCCAGGACAATTATTTCGCTGTATAATTAAACTTTGAAATGTGAAAATTCCCCACATACCTCGTGACACCTCATCACATAGTTGATGTATGTATGTATGAATCAAGTGTGATTTTTAACAAGTCACATCACCAGGCATCATCGAGATTCTGTTTGGGTTAGAGCGTGTTTCGGGTTAAAATTTGTTCGGATATCCTGAAGTAAGAATTTTAAAGTTGTTTTAAATGGGTTCTTAAAGTGATTAGCATTGGAACTACCAGCCAAACCAAACTAATATCAGACGTTAACCTAGTTAACTTGAAATATATTATAATATAATAATGTATATTTACCTGAACTGAACTGTTGTTTCTTAGCTTTATAAATTATAAACTGTTATTTATCCTAAAATTTGAAGTCATAGCTAGATTAATGATTAATACTACAAATATTTGTCATGTAAGAAGAATAATCTGCAGAAGCTGTTATTTATACTTGATAGTGTAAACATTGATGTTGGATAGGCTGGCTAATGGTGTAACTTGTAATGTAACATGCTTGCCTGATGATATTGTGCAGATTTATTTGACTTGTTTCTCAATCGGAAAGAATAAAATTTACTTATTTTACACAGTTTGTTTTTTGTTCAGGACAATTTTCTTTTTTTAAAATAATTAAATTGATTTGATAGGATCAATCAGTTGAGATGTCTCAAGCCCAGTATCCAGTGCTGAAGCAACCTGAACCGATGCCGTCGTCGGCACCCCCGTACGACCATTCATACGACCAGCCGGCATCTGTGTACCCCAACTACACCTACCCGGCCCTATCTCAGCCAGTAGCGATGCCAGGGGGGGCAGGACCCACAGCGCCAAACGTCGTCATCGTCAACCAGCAAACACCTTACGTTGTTCCACCGACTGGTCAACCGCAGAACATTCGAGATTGGAGCACTGGCATGTGCAGTTGCTGTGAAGATGTTACCGGCTGTTAGTTTGCCTCCTTAGTTTGTTCATTCATTCGTTCGTTCGTTCGTTTTATTTATATTTTTCACTGTTGCCTTAATCGAAAATTGAAACTTGAAATACGGGGTTGAAATTCGTACCTGAACATTTATCATTGTTAAATTGAGTTTTTTTCATTCACTTGGATTGACTAGATGAAACTCTTCTGTTCGGAACCTTTTAAATTTTGTCGACAACGCTAATTTTCAAATGTTAAATATTAAGAACATTTTTTAGATAAAAAAAATGTATAAGTCATACAACAGAAAAGCATTAACCAAACAAACAAACAAACAGACAGACAAACAAACAGACAGACAGACGGAAAACATACAAATAGGCATACATATACATACACACAACAAACCAGGTTTGTATTGTACGTTCTGCTTCCCGTGTTTCTCTTGTACGCTTGCCAGAAAGATGAATGAATGTTGTCTTGGGCCCTTGTGCTGTCCTGGTTTTCTGGTGGCCATGAGGTCAAAGATGAGGGGTCAACATGGAATCAGGGTTAGATTATTGAAAATTCCTTTCCTTATAGACTTCACTTGAATTTTTAATCCTACTTTGTCGACTTACGTACAGGGCAGCATATTTGATGATGTATGCGGGATGACTTTCTGCACTCCTTGCATGGCCCACCAGATGTACAGAGAGCTGGACAAGTGCAGGTATGCCTGATCCCTTGAGTCCATCCATTCCTCCTACTCATCCATCTTTGCTATTTTTTCCAAATGTGTGAGACAGGAGTGTCCGTTCAACTTTTTACTATTAGACTGTGCAATTTTCAGATTTTCATCAATTTTTGTATGCCTTGAATGTGGTTCCTTAAATAACGACAGTATTATTTTAATTAGAGTTGTTTGTAGGTCTTCATATTTTTATCGTTTAACGGTTACACATCTGAAACATGTATTTTGTAAGGACGTTCAATATTTTAAAGAAGATTTCATTTGCTTTTCTTATAAAATGCATTTATCGGAGTGAGAAGAAACATATTTCTTAGTCAATATATCGTAATTAGCTTTGTTATGTATGTGCTTTATTAACATCACTGAATATACTGTTGTCGTCAATGGAAGTTTGTACACAACTTGCTGCGAATTCTTTTAATTTTCACTTGTTTATCGTTGTATAATGTAAGATTGCGTTGTTGTTATTTATTGCAATGTTATGCACGTAAAAAAATGTCAAAAGTTTTAAACAATCTCTAACATCGTTAAACTCTTTCCATTTTGATGGTCATTGCTGATGTAACTTTGCTTCCAAATTGATAACTTTTATTGACGTACGTATATTACAGATTATTTGATGTAAAAAAAAGGTTCAACAGATTATACAGTGTTTTTTTTGTTTGAAATTAATTTAAAATTTAGCGGCTGAAAAATAATTTCTTAAAGCTTCACCATTTTTAAAGGGAAAATCATTGAGACGAAATTAAGCATCTTATGCAACCGCCCGTCAAGCGAAAATTAAATTTTTTTAATTTCATTTGCAGCTTAAACTAAAAAGACTGTCAAATCTATTGAATAAAATACATACGTTATATAGAACTTGGAACTTTATTTTTGATGATCGTAACCATCACAGCTTCTTTTTTCCTGAAAATGAAAAGCGAAACCAAAATTTTCTGGATTTTCTGGATATTCCCAAGATGTTCATTATCTTTTTTCATCTCAGAGCCAAAGTTCATCAAAACAGCAGAGCTAACGGTGTTGTTATACTGCACGTATGACTCATTAGGGGATGCACTCATTCGACAATTAACTGGGTTATTATTATTATTTATTATTATTTTTATTATTAATTATTATTATTTATTATCAGCGGTGTTATCATTTCTCACGTTGAAAATTTTTTTCTAATATAAACTGAATAGTTACTGAAAATTTTCTACAGCTAGAATTTTGAGAATTATATTAGCGAGAATATTATTGAAAATATATTGGTGGAACATAATCTTGGAATATACAGTTACCATTATACGTAAATGCAACAATATCAAGACCAGATGCCATATTTATAGTCCATCTGGTCATATGCCTCTTTATTCTTTGCGAAAGTTGGTTATTGCTTTGAAAAAGTTTTTGTTGATATTAGAATGTTTCTCTAAAATTCAGATGTTGTATGTTTTAGGTGAACGTCTGTATGTGCGTGTGTGTTTGTGTGTGTGTGCGTGTGTGTATGTGTACCGTGTGAATGTGCATGTGTGTGATGTGTAGCACTAATTACATTACGTCAGCATCTTTTTATAACATTATAACATAACATTCTAACATAACGTAGGGAGAATAATTTTTCTTATTATTTGTGTAAATATTTTTTTATTTAGATTCGACATTAATCCACGCCAATTTGAATGAAAAAACTGCATCAAACGAACAATCTAAAAAGAATTAACTGATCCTGATCTTAAATGAAGATGTACTCATCAGCAAATAATTTAACATTTCATATTGCAGTTTAATTTCGTAAAGTAATTTTTCTGAGTTTATCTACCACAATGAACAAACGCATGCATCAGAACTTCAATTTATAAAAAAAAGTAAAAAAAAGTAATAACACTTTTAATAGAAATAAAATTAGAAAATGTTTTTCAATTAGCAACGTGATGTAGAGTATGAAAACAAAAGCACTTGTGATATCAACTCGGAAACAAAACAATGCATAACATAATATATATTATATATATATATATATATATATATATGTGTGTGTGTGTGTGTATGTGTGTGTGTGTATGTGTATGTGTGTGTGTGTGTGTGTGTGTGTGTGTGTACATACAATGCACTACTTACATATATACTTATACGTGCTCATCATATAATGTTTCAGTATTGGTGCATTCCGGGAATATTTTCCAGCATCTGGGAGAAACAAGCGAACCTTCCAACCACAATGATATATTATATATATATATATATATAAATACATATATTACATCAAACAAACAGCAATGTACATTTACTTCATTTCTCTCGTTGTTTGTTTACCATCATTTCTTTTATTAAGTTCCAAATAGTACAACACTTTTGGTGATATAAATCACATTTTTTTGATGAATTGTACGGCCGTTAAAAAGTTGTTTCATGTACGGAACATTATAAGAATAGACATTTAGTTCTAATGAAATGAAATTTTAACCATTTTGACTGTCATCAAAAAAAAAGTTAAAATCCCAACACGATGGATACTACAGAGGATAGAAAACTGAATTTAAAAAACTTGTTAAACATGTCAGCCACATTTAACAGCGTAGACATCGTGAGACTTGCGGTGCGGCACATGTTCATGGGGCACATCAAGAGCCAGCCCAGTGTGAGGAACACCTTCTTCAAGAAACACATCCTACCTGGAGCCACTGACAGGTGCCGGTGCGTCAACTATTCCAACATCATCCTGACACGGGAAGTAGAGGGCTTCAGAGAATTTGATTTTGACAAATTTGCAGTCTTGTACGTGTGCCAGGTTATTTGTCATCTGAAGAAATATTTCAATTTCCATGAGATGATTGATGAATACTTGGTTGAGGAAGAGCTAAGTTGCATATATTCCAGTCCAATCTGGCTGAAGTTAGGTCGGTTCATCCTTAATTTAATTGATTACTGTTATTTAATCTGTTACCATTCGTCTGCTTATTCTAATTCATTATAATTCATCGTCACTTTTATACGATTGTTGTTAGCGTATTCGTTTAATAAGCCAAAATTCATCCACATATCCTAACATAAATCGAACAATAAACGGGGCGGAATTCAAGTTGCTATGCCAACTATCCATACAATGCAAACTTCCTACTCGGAGTGCTAGCAATTTGAATGAAAAATTACTCCAAAGATTCAATAGTAAAATTTGTGATATGATTCATTCCATTCAAATAGTAAAAAAAAAGAAAATATACAATTTCATATTTTTATAAGCAACATTTAAACAAATGAAAATTTTTATTGTCAACTTTTATTAACAATATCTAGCGGTATTAACGTATACACGATATAATACTATCACATCACCATCATCATTTTTATCATCACCACATTACACATCCACACAAGCATCACCGCTGCTATCCTTATTATAGTTTACTATTAAACGTTAAAATCTTTAGAAAATTGCCAACATTTCCGAAACAGGTTTAGGTTTCTACAGCTTCCTCTACAAAGAACTTGTGAGAGACCATACAACTGGAGAATACTTCAAAAGTTACTGTTCTCACGGGTCTGGTAATGTTCTTTTATTTATTTTTAGAAAATTTGTCAATTTTTTCATTTTTTGTCGTTTTTGGCACTTTTTTTTAAAAAAAACCGTTTTTTCTAAATAAACAGTACCGTAACGTTTTGTAAAAGTTTTTTATACATTAAATTAATTTAAAAAATTGTTACAAGAAAACTGTGGGCGAAGAAAATAGCAGAGAAGTATCAGTCTGAATTAACGGTGCTACGTAATTTTTCTTTTGCTGACACGTGTCCAGATGTCATTCAGAAAAATGTGAATGAACTGTTGATAAAAGTCCACATCTTAGACCCCACTATGGTTAACACTGTCTACAACCTTCTACATAAAGGTGACTATGAACAGTTAATTTTTCAACTTTATAAATTTTTCATTTAATGAAATAAACGATTTTTTAAATACTCAATATTTTCAAGTGATTCCAAACATAACGACGGAAATATACAAGACACGATATCTGGGCGATGTGATGGATTGGTCAATGATCCGCCAAGAAGTGGAGTCAGCAATTTTGAAATCCTCCCTTCCAAGCAATGTATCCAGACTCTCACTCGATAAGTTGGAACATTTTCACGGCATTCAAGTCTGTGAATTCATAACAAATGAGGCCAAAGAGTATGGTCTGTGGACTGGAAGGCATCCAAAAAATCTCACAACATCTGAACTGAAAGATAGATGCAGCATTTCTTGATTCTTTTTTTCATTTTAATTCAGAAGCACAGTTAAACCTGGAGCGTGCATGTAAACGTTGATGAAATGTAATGAGTTCTTGTCTGAATTTCGAAATTTAAAAAAAAAATTTATTACGACTATGTGAAATACGATGACAAATGGTTGATAAAAGTTAATAAAACTCAAACGAAACTTCGATTGTAGAGTTTGATTTGCATGACTGGTTGATGTTCAGCCAAAACGAAACCACGTTTCACGCGAACGGCACTCCTGCAGACCAGATCCAAATAAATGAGCAGTCCTTGCAGGCAGTTTAAGATCAAACCAACAGAGTTGATGTTTTCCGCGTGGCCGTAGCAATGGACGACAGTGAATGTGGTGATGAGGAAGTTGACAAAGGAAATCTTTAACGTAAATCTTAAAATTTTTTGCTCTTGATCGATGCGAAGAGTAATTTTTCTGCTCTTCACGTTATGATATATGCACGGAAGGTAATATCTTAGGAAAGAAGCAGCAATGTAGCAATAACAACTGGCGTATGTTAAGTACGGCAGTCTTGATTTGATTTTGTTGTTGAAGTTGTAGAAAATGATGGCACCGCCAACGTAATAATCTAAACTCACGAGAACCAACGGAACGACAATCGCGTAAGAAACGTACAAAATGATTTTGATGTAGTGGTTCTTTTGAAATATTTCCATCGTTTCTAAAGCCACAACATTCGTCCACGCCAGCAGGGAACACGTTGAATAACTAGACAATATGGAGTCGTGGAAATCTGTTGTTAAGTTTTGGACGAAGTACTTGAGCAGCCAGCCGTGGTAGAGGATTTTTGGACTGACGAGACAGAGAAAGTGGTACCTGTAGTTGTGAGCCGGTGATTTCTTGTCGAACAAGATGAGGATAAAGACAACGATGAGTGAGATGAAGGAAACTGTTGATCCGACCAGGAAACATTTGAAGACCACTTTGTGTCTGAATTCACTGTTGTTAGCATTGGATGCGTTGAAAAATATTTCATTCATTTTCAACAGATATAAATATTATTAATAATTTTTATTGACTTAACTGAATTTATTTAACAGCACAATAACAAATTCAGTGTAGGAAATTAACGTTGAAATTTTGAAAAATTAAGCATTTATGTACAAAAATTACTTCAAACATCTATGCCTTGTCTAGGCTGCTTTGTTGTGTTTGTAAATTAAATGTAAACAAGCTTATGTCTTACAGAGCAACATTAAATACATCGTACAACATCATAATCAATATAGCAATACAATTTTTTAAACAATATTGTAATATTTTTTCTTAAATTTTTGCACTTTACACTAATTGGGAAGAATGCGACTGCAGTGAAGATAGAACTTTCTCACATTTCCTAAATAACTGTAAACCTAACCAACCATGTCATCCACATCACTTGCCCCATTTTATCAATCACCCTTGATAGTCACCTGAACCCAACCAGCAGTAGGACGATTGCCACTGATGTCACAGTTCTTTCAGATTGGTGTTTGATTTAATGAATAGTTAGTTAGTTACGTGTAGTTGTGGCCATGATTGGTTAGCGGATCGATATATCCTACCAGGATTCACGATGATGATCAGCTACAAAATATTTAATTTTTTTTTCATTGCATGACTGCAATTGGTGAAGTCGAGTTTTCTGAAGAATCCAAATATTTTCCCCATAATGTTATCACATTATTTGGTTTGATATCAAAGGAATAAATTGAAACCAGGTCGAAATAAGTATCATTTCACTTCGAAAGATCATTATGTGATCAACATTGTTTACACTTTGGCTTCATTTGCATTTTTATTACAATTTATAATTTATATTTATTTAAATATAGATATTTAAATGTTTTGTGGGCGTATGATTGGTTCTATTTAATTTATATTAATTTTACATGTTGCCTATCGTGTGTCAGTAGCATTGAAATATTTTCAGCAAGAAATTCTCTAACTTTATCGTTAAATTGATCAATAGTAGAAAACTGCGTTTAAGTGTAGCTGAAAATTTAAATTACGTGAAGGCATTGATTTTGTTTGCAAATATTTAAATTACGCTCGTCGACACAGAGCAAGAGTTTATCAACAAATACAGTTAATACGGTATGTGCATTCAACTACATTTCGTTTGAATTCATAAAAATTTTTGATAAAATTTTGTATAAATTTAGTTAAAGAATGATAAATATTATTATGAGTTTGAAATTATTTGGCATGTTTAAATGCCCGTTGTTAATTTAGAAACACTTCGATCCATCTGTTGCATGGAGAACCAGCTGGAAAATGATACCACGGTGAATTTTACGATTTTTTTTTATAAATCTTTTGATATATCTTATAAATATTAAACAGTTTTTAATAATCACATAGGCTAAGGTTAATTTTTTGATAGAGGAATAAAAATACGTTTTTAATATTTGAGTTCAACACAGATTTTTAAACATTAAGGTTGGCAATCATAACGCTGCCTCCACTTTGTTGTTGGCGTTGTTTCAACAAATTATTGGGCACTGACCTGCTTTACATATTAAAAAATAAATGAATTACATAAAATGCTTTAATATTTGCCATATTAATAAAATAGGCACAATTTTTTTTCAAAGTGGTTTTAAAATACATTTGATGCAAATGAGGCTTATTGAATTAAATCAAATTTTTGAATGAAATATATATTTTATGAAAAAAACATCACTGATGATTAGAAAGTTGGAATAAAATTTGGCAGATCTGCAAAAAACAGATACATATTTTACTGGGGTGGAAATGCTGAAGTCGTAGAATTGTTTAAAGATAGAATGGAATTTTGGAAGTCGACAATAAATTTGGAAGCTGTTAGCTTTAAACAAGCTTCAGATCATTCATACGCTACTTTACCAAGTGACCCAAATGGTTCAACTTTACGTTGATGAGTAATTTCAAAACCTACTTGCTGATGGATGAAATTGAGAAAAACTCAACGATGATCAACCAACAAAACGTTTATGCAAGCAAGTTCTAAAAACTTGTAGTACATATTCTCCATTTCAGTAATTCACTAATATTATAGCGGGTCTCAAAACGTGTAAAACATTGCGTATATTCATTCTGCGTGTATAATAGGAAACAATGTTTAACCCAACATAACAGGGTTTAAAGTGGTTCAGTAGACTAGGGCCTGTGTGAGAACCACTGCTATTTAAGTGTCCTAGTATCCCAGCTTTCCGAGTTTGATTTTGGCATCGTCTCATCGAGATCGTCTCATCACTGTGCTCCTTCCAGGCGTTTACCACCCTGCCGCTGAAGAGCTTTTGCTTGGTTGGATTTTATGTCTTCCTGACGAGCTTGTATCCGTGACCCCGTAATCCCTTTCTATTCTCTAGTTTGATTGAGGTCGTGACGTGGTCGCCAGCATAGCAGCCAAAAAAATTTAGTCAGGTGTTTTTTTTTTATTAATTAGTTTGACAACAGACAATTAAAAGTTTTCCTATTTTGCTTCAATAAATATGCACGTAAAACTCAGTTAAACCGTTCCAAAACCGTTTTTTCAGATGAGGGTACCATTAAAAACCTTGGCAGCATTTTGTTGACGCCCCTTGCTTCAACTAATTTTATTCATCTGAAAAAATTTTGTAAATAAATAATGTTTGGAGTGAAATGCTGGTGATGAGATTTTAATTTAAACTGTTTAGTCAGTAGTCCGGTCGTTGTGGCCGTCCGCAGTTCTAAATTACGTTTAATATTTAATTTTGAAATGAGTGTTGACAAAATTTACTGATTTATTTAGTTTAGAATTATGTAATTTTTTTTCCTTCAATTGCATTTGAACTTCAGAATCGGAATTGTCATAGAATAGAGATAGATAGACTCACGAAAAGAGAGAGAGAGAGAGAGAGAGTAGAGAGCAAACGTTTGTGTGTGGTCATCTGATTTGATTGCACAAAGTTAAGTAATAAAATAACTGCTGATAAAAACCTCACTGAACTAGGAAGAATAGATATCATTCAGAGTGAGTGAGTGAGTGATTAATAATAAATTAATTATTATATTATTAACAACATTTAATTTAACAACTGATTGTTATGTTTTTCAATTTAATTATTAATATTTAATTAATTTTCTTTTATTAATTTAAAATTTATTTTTGTGCTTGATTGTCAGCTCTTTGGCATGTAATTTTCTGATTCTAGTTGCTAATCAACTACTAATCTAATTTAGTGATAGATAATCAATAAAAAAAAACTTTCTGTACTGTAATAAAATACAACAATTAAAAATGTAATACTTGTTTTTTATGGTTTTATTTGTCTTCACTAATAAAAAATATATAAATTTAATTTAATAGGATAACTATTTTTTTTATTTAGTAGAGACACTTGAAATTGAATTAATATTTTTTTTTCCCAGGAAATGAATGTCGTGTTGAAACAAAACAGTGATGTCAGCTGCTACTTCATCACTAAGCATTCATGGAAGGGAAAGTTAGATCAATTAACTTTTGGCCATCTTTTCCATTATTTAATTAATCCAACTATGGATCACTTCTTTCTTTTCAACTCTGTCAAACGCAGAACTGCTTACATGTTATTCTATACTTACTTTCACACGACGCACATGCACCTATATGTATGCGTGCGCAAGCACCGCATCGTATGGGTATGATGGTATTTGAGTTTCGGACAGACAGTATTCGAACCATGCCATTGCCTAATAGCAACTTGAGACATGGCACTTT